ATGAGTTACAATGATATCGTTTCACAACTAATGGGAGAGAAAACCACACAGCTCTTTGTCACATAGTTTTTAAGAAGCATTTTTCAAAAGAGCAATGGCCTGGAAATGTTGTCCTCACAAACTGGTTTTCTGGGACTAGAAATATCAAGGAAGAATATTATGACTTTCATCATCTCTTTCTTCCTGTCATTTTATCTATAAATGTGGCATTTTAACAGACAAGGAGGAAGAGAACAGGAGCCATAGCTCAGGAGTAGACCGGACGCTTGGCCTGCACAGAGCCTGGGTTCAGGGTCCCACCCTCCAAACCTGAAGAAGAAAACAGAAAAATCTCCCACCATAAGTCCCTAACTCAGGCATGATCCTGCTATAAAGAGAGAAACCATCAGAAACCCTGAACATGCTGGAATAAAGTGGATGCTCTGCGTGCGCGTGGCTCTGGCCTCCATCCCCAGTGCCAAAAATACAAAAAATAAAAAAGAGGAAGGACTTAATTTTGAAAAGAGGAAAGTCGTCAAAATGAAAAAAATATGGCTTTATAAATAACTTGCTACACTGCCTTTGCTTCTTCTTCAAGCAAGGTCGGTGAGGATGTTACCACCGCGGCCTACCTCAAGGCTGAGCTGTGGAAGCCACTGGCCCAGAAAGCTGTGCTCACAGCGCAAGCAGGGGAAGGGCGCAGGGCTCTCCTACAACCAGCCAACCTCTCCCAAAGTCCTGAGGAGGAAACTAGAGCAGCCCTGCGCTGCAGGTGGCAAGAGCAAGGTCACTCCACACCTGCCTGTGCACTGGGCTCACACAGGAGCTGAGCCACAGCCACAGAGGCCTATACGTTTTCCTGTCTCCAGCAGGCATGTGTGAGCATGGGGCAGGCTGCTCACTCTCCCACTGCAGAGTGTTTCCCAGGCTTCAGGAGCTTCCAGGTCCTGGCGGCTACCGCAGGAAACAGGCTCAGTGGGAGGTAAGTGGCAAACCTAGATTTAGAGTTGGTGCGGCCGTGTCTGTTCCATATCAGCCTGTTCTGAGCTTGTCACATAGCCTTCCCGGGCCTCAGTTTTGACATCTGCAAAATGACAAGGACTAGATGATTTTGAAAACATTTGAGTTCTAAAGCTTGAAATCTATAAAAGCAAAGAATTGTGGCAAATCTTCTGGTGTTTATTCAGACCTATTTTTTTTTTTTTTTTTTTTTTTTTCTTTCCACTACTGGGAATTGAATCCAAGCCCCTGCCCCACTATTTCTTTCTTTCTTTTTTTTTTTAATGTAATTGGCACAGGGTCTCACTATGCAGCTCAGACTTGTAGTGATCCTCCTGTTTTCAGTCTCCCCAGCGCTGGGATTACAGGCATGGGCCACCACGCCCAGACTTGGTGGCTGCCAGCATGGCATGTGGTCCAGGGTCTTTTTTGATTTTTTTTTTTAAGTCTTTGACCAGTTTTTGTTTGTTTGTTTCCTCTCAGGGTAGTGCTGGTGTCCAGCAGTTTGGGCAGTGCTTCTCTCTGTTTCATTGCAGAGTTGGAGGAGTATTGGCATTAAATTTCTTTGAGGTTCTGATAGAATTCTGTAGTTAGTCCATCAGATCCTAGGCTGTCTCTGTTGGTAGACTTCTTTTTTTAAAAAAAAAAAACAAAACACTTATTTATTGTGTGTGTGTGTGTGTGTGTGTGTGTGTGACCAGCTCAGCCCACCAGGGAGGGGGCTGGCTGGCATGTGGTGCTGGGGGATCGAACCGTGGTCCCTGTGCTTTGCCAAGCTTGTTTCAAGTAGGTGCTTTAGACCACTGAGCCATCTCACCAGCCCCTGGTAGACTTCTTATCTGCCTGTATTTCATTGCCTGTTATAGGACTGTTTGGACTTTACATCTTCTTGATTCAATTTTGTTAATTTGTATGTGTCCAGGAATTTGTCCACTTCTTAAAGGTTCTCTAATTTATTGGCACGTAAGTTCTGGAAGTAGTTTCTTATGGATTTTGGTGGTATTGGTTGTGTTTCATTTCTATGTCACAAAGATTATTCTCTTTTTTTGGGTAAGTTTGGCTAAGAATTCATCAATTTTGTTTATCCTTTCAAAGAACTATACTTTGATTCATTTATCCTTTATATTTTTAAGTCTCCATTAATTTCTTCTTTGTTTCAGTCTCCATTAATTTCTACCCTGATCTTTATAACTTCTTTCTAAACATTTCAGATCTGCATTGCTCTTATTTTTTAGGACTGTGAAATGTATAATTAGGTCATTTATTTGGAATTGCTCAGTTATTTTAATGTGTGCATTCATGTCTATGAACTTTCCCCTTACAATTACTTTCTTTGTGACGCAGAGGTTTTGGCTTGTCGTGTTTCTATTGTCTCTTGGTGATAGGCACTTTTTATTTTGTCCCTGATTTCTCCTGTGATCCATGATTACTCAATAGTTACTATTTAGTCTCCATGTGTCTATGTAGTTCTATATCCTAGCCATGAGCTCATGAGGGTAGAGAAAAGAAGAGTATATTTTCTTACCTTCACTTCTATGACAAAGAAATGAAATCAGGAAAAGGTGTGTGTAGGGAGAAGAAAATAGAGAAATTTAAAGTGTGTACAATGAGTATAGTGGGAGGGATTAATCAGGCAAACTAAGTGAGGATGAAGGAGGTGGTAGATGAAGGAATAGTTATTTTTCTCTTGGGGCAATGAGCCACTGGGGCCTGCTTGTGGATGCTTCCTTTAGCATAACATTCTTACTCTAGAAATATCAAAGAGTCTTCAACATGTAAAATTGTGTTACATGATCATGAGATGGGGCCAGAAGTGATTGAGGCATGTCGAACAGTGCAGTCTGCATGCTCATTCTGTTACTTGTTAGCCGTGTGACAGTTCTACATTTGTAAAAGGAAAACCATGTGTAAAGTCCCAACAAACATGATCCCAAAGCCCAATGGGTGTCATTGCTGTAGTCTGTGAAATTCTATATTTTTTTATAAATAAGATCACTAACACAAAATTAATAATTTAAACATTTAAATATTATTTGATATACTAATGAGGAAGTGATGGAAGAGATACTACTTGTTTATACTGTTATTCAAATTTTTGCTATTGCTTGTAAGAAAGTACCTTCACTGAATAGTAAACTTTTTTTAAATGTATTTGGTACAGGGTCTATAAGGTGTTCAGGGTCTCACTATGTAGATTAGACTCCTAGTGATCTTCCTGTTTTCAGCCTTCCAAGTGCTGAGATTACAGGCTTGTACCACCACTCCCAGCCTCAATTGCCTCAGCATGCCCTGGGGGGCAGGGTGGGCAGTACTTGCTGGAGATTGAACCTGGCCAAGCTCTTTAATCCGCTGAGCTATCTGGCCAGCCCTTGAATAGTAAACTTTTAATTCAATCATGGATTAGGGATTTAGGGCACTGATTAAGACTTGTGGTCTTTTAAAAGGATTTCTAGTAGATATAAAGAGAAATACATGCTATATATAATGTGATAAATCCAGTCCTAGAGAATAAAGCAAGATGAACGAGGTAATAAAGGCAGTTGTGATAGTTCTGCCTGGGAGAGTCAGGGAAATGTACCTCTGTCCATAGTTCTTTTTATTTTAAGTCCAGTCAAGTATCTCTTCCATAGAACCTTCTCAGCTTAGGCCAGTATGATGTGAATGGAGTGGAAAGTTCTCATATAAGAAATGCACTTGGTTTAGAAATGAATTGGGATATAACCATCAGTGGAAAAGAAGTGCGCAAGATGCCTCAGAAGGCTTCCTGGAACAGAGGCAGATGGGGCAGGAGGGGCAGCAGGTGGGTGGGCTCTCTCAGGGCTGTGTTCAGTGGGCAGTTACGAGAAGTACATCTGCCCGAAGTCATTTATGAGTGCAACAAACCTGGTAGCGAGACGGCTGGCCATTATCTTTGTTCCAATCCATGCAGCATAAAGGCCTCAGTGCTACCCTAATGGTCCTCTTCCCCCAGCCAATTGAACCCTAATTTTATCAGGTCTTTGCATTAAATTTCCGGTCTATAAGAAAATATAGGGTGCCAAATTAAAAACAAAACAAGAAAGCAATCTGCCAAATCTTTAATGTGAGATGTTCTACAAAAAGACCTGTTCTAGAGGGAAAGAAATTTCCAAGAGGTCTGACATTATGAGCAAATTAATGAGAGGAGCTTCACCAAATCCTTATTTTAACAACCAACTGTATAATTTTTTAGACAATTAAATCTGAGTTTGAATTGGGTATTCCACTGTTCTCAAAGAATATTGTTAATTTCATTCTGATGATAATGACATTATGTTAGGGGGAAAATGTTCCATTTCTTTCCTTTGAGATGCATAATGAAGATTTCAGGGGCAAAAAACATGATAACAAAGCTCAAAATTGCTTTAAGGTATTCCAGTTTTTTTAAAAAATAGAGATAAAGTAAAAATTATAGCATTCTTTGGATGATTGTGAAGTGGATTTACACAATTATGGGAGTTTATTTTACTCTGTTTTAAAAGTATACTTGGATGTTTCCTATTAAAACATTAAAAATCAACTGCATCAGCAGAAATGTGTGCGTGGAGCTAATGATGGAAAACAGATCTGAAGAGCTGCCCCAGGGCAGAGTCCTTCTTGTACACAGTGTGTTGGTACTGCTCAAAGTGACAGCTGTGGCTTTAGGTCATCCACCAGGGAACAAGATTTCCTTGTTACCTGTCTTCTGGTCCTTTTCCTCCCAAGTTACCAAGATCCAGACCAATAATATGCTTGTCCAGAGTGTAGCGAGTATAGATCCGTATGTCTGGCTAACTCTCTCCAAAGGAGACTACCAAAGGTATTACCTGAAGTTCTTGTGATTGTGGGATTTTCCTTCACTACTGCCTTTGGATACAATATATACATGGACCAAGGGGCAGTATGTACTTTGAATCAGAGACTATTATAAGGTGCTGTCGTCTTTGTTCCCAAAGTATATGAACATGGGAATCAAAGACTAAAAGGGGAAGTATTTGCATTATTATTGTTTTTGTAACTCACAGGATTCTTTCTTCCTATCCTACTCAATTTTGAACTCTGCTGGTATGAATATCTTGGCTTCCAAGGGTGGTGGAGGGATGCTATCATCAAGAGACATCAATGGATCCACTGGACTTAAAGGTGAGAGCCCCATGATCTCAGATGGTCATTCTGAATTGCTTATGTCACTTAACCATTAGGGAGAAATAAGTATAACACTGTGGGCTAGAGTGACTAACCTAATTCTTCAAGAGGAAATTGGGTACCCAATGCTTTGTTTTTGTTTTTGTGGTTTTTTTTTATGAGCAGAATATATTTATTGAAAAGAAAGCTCCTGTCCGAGAGAGAGGGACAGGAAGGGGGCTCGAGCAGGTAGTCCCCCGGGGAAGTTGTCTCTTCCAGGGACTTTTATAGTATAAAACCATGTGGGGTTAAGGTGGAGAAAATGGGAACTCTCTTAGGTGGCCATGAGGTGGGACAAAACTATGGTCAACCAATGAGCTTTCAAGCACCATTGCTCAGGTAAAATTGATTAAGTCCAGGACCAAATGGGGAAGGGAGTCACATAGCAAGCGGGCATGAATGTAGAGCAGGACTTTATCAGGTAGCCATCCCGTAGTAGTCGGATTAGTGATTCCTCTGGCTCCCTCAGGGTGATGATCAATCTCGGATGCCAATCTTTAGGGAGGTCGGCATTTGTTTGATCTTTGGTCTCTAGGTCTGGCCCATGGCTTTGGCAGGAGCATCCATTCCTCCCACAGTTATAAGGTATCTTGTCTTCTGTGTTATCTCCTTTGAGGCCCTGTCTGACTGCCTATAATATTTCCAGCTAACTTGGCTGCCTGTGAAATAAGCAACTGCACTGAAGATGGTAATCTGTAATAGTAGTTTAATGCTTGGAGTGCCTGTCATTCTGGTCTTCTGAATACGGGCTGCTTGTCATGACATGCCAGTTGCTGCTGTGCTGTCTCTCGGGTAGATGACTCTGTCCAATGATCTTGGTGGGGAACCTCCAAAATGATACAGGGAACCTCCAAATGACACAAGGAGAAAAACTGATCTCCCAACCTAAAAGGTACCTGGGACGAGTTCATGTTTTCTAAAACTGCAGAATGAATTTTAGGAACAAGTGGAGGTTATGAGCAGAATATATTAATTGAGGGAAAGAAAGCTCCTGTCTGAGAGAGGGACAGAAGCCCCCCCCTCAGCAGGTAGTCCCCCCAGTGTTGTTTAGAATCTATGGAATGCTTAGAGTTCAGAACCTTCTTGCCACTTCCAGACTCAGAATGAAAGGTTAATGGAAGACTACAGCAACTAGAGAGGCAAGAATATTGAAACTCATATAGTTCAGGAAAGATGATTTAGGCCACTCTACCAGGTAAGGACATTGACTATTGAGGTCTGGCTAAAGGCAAGGGAAGTCTGAAATGAGTCATAGGCGAAAGTTGCAGATGTTACTTACTACCTTGTAACCAACTGTACAAGTGATGATTGTAGTGACTTTTCGTACTTTATCTTTGCTTGTATGTACTGGTGTGTTTAGGCTACCCATTTCTAATCTCCTTGCCATTATGACTTTATATATTAGTTATGGAAGATTAGCTTTGTGTTGTAGTATTTAGACAACAAAATGTTAAAATGGGTTATGATCATGTTTGTGCATTAATTACTATACCCAGTGATTTTTTTTTTTTTTTTTTTTTTTTTTTTTTTAGGGAAAGATCTATAGGGTGTTCAGGATCTCACTAGTAGATTGGACTCATAGTGATCTGCCTGTTTACAGCCTCCCAAGACCTGGGATTACAGGTGCACGCCACCACACCTAGTCTCAATTGCCCTCTCAGTGCACTCTAGGGGCAGGCCTAGGGATTGAACTCCTGGCCCCTGTGCCTGCTTGCAGGTACTTTAATCCCCTGAGGTATTTGGCGGGTCTTAGTGAGTTATTAATATAGTATGTCATTGACTTTTGAGAAGTCTCTGAAAACTTGTTCATTTACAGAAGAATATCTTGGGTAGAAACAGTTTTTTGGTTAATCATGGAAGTTCAGATATGTGTAGATATACAAATAGAAGCTAAAAAGCCAAGGGGTGGATTGTACTAGCTATTAATCTATTGCCTTTCAACTCTAAATGTATTTCTGTGTGTGTGTGTGTGTGTGTGTGTGTGTGTGTGTGTTATGGTTGGTGTCTAGGTTTCCCCCCAAAGCCTCATGTAGTCATGGGGGGGGGGCTTCTAGAGTTTATGATTAATTCATGATCCATTGCTGGGATTATGGGTGTGAGTGCTATTCCCACCCTGGGGAAGATAATCTGCATTACAATGTGAGGAGGGAAGAGAAGCTTGCTAGACGCCACAGCTGTGGCCCCTACTTTTGCTCTTTGCTGTTTTACACCACCATGAACTGCTGCCCTCTGCCTTGTGCCACTCTGTCTTGAAGCCAGCCAAGTATGGACTGAAACCTCCACTAACTGTGAGCTAAATAAACCTTTCTTTCCTTAATTTTGGGTATAGGGTGTTTTGTCCCAGAAACAAGAGAGAAAATAGCCAAGATTGTGTGTGTGTGTGTGTGTGTGTGTGTGTGTGTGTGTGTGAGAGAGAGAGAGAGAGAGAGAGAGAGAGAGAGAGAGACTGAGAGACTGAGAGACTGAGAGACTGAGAGACTGAGAGACTGAGAGACTGAGAGACTGAGAGACAGAGTCTGGAACTGGACCATGGAAATATTTCTCCTTTGTCAGCTCACAGAATATTGTGTTAGTAAAGGTTGTAGTGAGTACTGAGTGAGGAAGGCACTTCTATTCTTGGTTAATATAGATTTTTTTTTTCTGATTCTAGTAGCTTACTAGGGCTATTTTTCCCAGATAAATTTGATAGTGCCTCAAAAAGCAGATTTCCAAGGGCTGGCCAGATAGCTCAGCAGATTAAAGCACCTGATTAGGCGGACACAGAGACTGGGGTTTGATCCCTGGTATGCCATGCCGGCCCCATCCCCAGGACACACTGAGATGGCGATTGAGATGGCATGGTGGCACACGCCTGTAATCCCAGCCTTTGGGAGGCTGAAAACAGGAGGGTCACTACAAGTCTGATCTGTGTAGTGAGACTCTGTAGACCCTCTACTAAATTTAAAAAAAAAAAGATTTCCAGTGATTTCCATTCTGTTGGTGGTTATTAAGAGTCCCAGTAGCACTCTATTGAGGCTGAAAGATACCCAGCACTGCTCACTATTTACCCAGTTGTGCAGGCATCTCAGCTTCCTAGAAGATTTTTGCCAGCATCTTGATAGATGGCTTCACATAAAAGCTTGTGGTACCCCACCAGTGGGAATTCCTATCAATTTATGGGAGACTTTTGCAGATGGCTTCCCTGCAAGTTTCTTAGGTGTCCCAAGAGGTGACAGAATCTTGATGGAACCCCAGTTGGTGTTTTCCTGCTTGCAGCCCTAGCCTGCAGCATCTTAGCAAGCCTCTTGATCAAGAGGTGGGCCTCATCCATGAGTTCTGAACCTTGGCCTTTGTTGTACTTTGGAGTTTCACCAGGAAAAAAACCAAAACAGTACAGGACAATTAATTGTAAGATTATTTTATAATAGTCACCCAAAGAGTGTTATACAAAAGGAATGCATGAAATCTGCCCATACACTAAAGACAAACAAATCCAGCTGAGGGCCTGGATCCCACAGTAATGTCCTATGAGTTCAGCTGAAGACCTAGAGCCTGTCAAAATGCCCCCTGTGAGTCCCACTGGTGGCCAGGAGCCCATGCCAATGCCTCATGCAGGCCTGTTTCATGGATCTGCACTGGGAAGGCCCAAAGGTCAGTGAGGCAAGGTAGAAAAATCTGTGTCATTGAGCTGAAGGACATGTGCCAGCAGGCTGAGGGATCTGCACTGGAGCCAGGAAGCAGTGTTCAAAGTAAGAATCAGCTCTCCCCAGCCATCCTCTGTGACAGGGAGGTTCTAGCTCCTCCAGTGACATGGAGGACAGCCAGGGTCCTATTAGGAAAGTCAGCATGATAAACTTCTCCAGGAGATTGAGCAGTGCACCATCTTCTCCTCTGGAGCCAAAAACCAACATGAGGACCAGAGCTCCCCCAAAGTGACCTGTAGCCATTCTGTGTCCATGAGGTCTGAGCTCCTTTGATAACGAGAACAGCTAAGTCCATCAGAAAAGCCGGCATCACAAGCTCCTCTGAGAGAACCTCTATCTACCTCCATCTCCCTCCAGCCTCTTCTCATCTTCCTCTCCAGTTCTACTTCAAATGCTTCTGGCTGCTGTCCTCAAGTGGGCCTCCCACGCCCAGCTCCATGCTGATTCATCAGCTCGGTGTTATGAGGTGACCACCAGTTGGTAATCCACCGCAGCCTTTGTCAGAGCCCTTTCCAAGATTGTTCCTTCCTTGGTCACTCTGCCTTATACTGCTTTAGAGATAGTGAAGGCTCCCTCTGTCCGCTATTCCTACATTTTTTGGTGTTTGTATTAAATTTTGTCTGTTTATAATACAAGTGACTTTTTAAAAAATCTCTTTAAAGACTGACAAAACATACATTAGGTAAATTTGTAAAAATTCAAGTGAGTCGTGACATCAGTATCAAATGAAAATTAATGTTGGTAGAAGGCATCAGATATGATAGAATGCAGTTCAGGGAGAATAAGAATATTCATTAATATCTGTGAAAATAACAGCACCAATGTTCATGAGGCTAAAACTTCAAAGGTAAAACAAAATTGTAGCAGATCTTTTTTTTAATTGTTTTAGTACATTTGCAGTACTGAAGTTTATGTTCATTTTAGAGAGCAGATGAATATACATAACACAGCTTGGTGCTTTTTAAATCCTCTCTTCCACCCACCTCCCTCCCATCTGTGTCTACATCTCCTTTCCCTGTGTTTTTGAGTTCAAATTTACTGTTTTTGAGTTCATGGTTATGGCATAGAATGATTACAGTTCACTGTGGGAGTTTGGTGCAGGTGTGTGACATATCCTAGACCATTTTTCTTCACCTTCCTTTCCCCTTCCCTGCCCAAGCTCTCTTGGACCCTTTTCCATCTGCAAAAGATCTATCTCCTTATTTCCTTCTGTCCTTTCTTTTGCTCTTCATTTGTAATTTGTACTCAACTGAGAGAAACCATATGATACTTAAC